TGCTATACCTCTATAGTGTTCAATATTAGATTTACTGCCCTTTTTATGAAGCGGAATGATAAACGATTCTTTCATTCAGCTCCCGCGACGTTTCAAAGAGCTCTCGATAGCGTCATAGGTCCGGAGTTAGAACCTTCAGCGTTCGCGTACTTAGATGACATCAATGTTATCGGCACGACTCTTGACGAACACATCGAAAACCGGCGCGAAGTATTTAGGCGACTCCGGCAAGCTAATCTGAAGCTCAACCGAGACAAATGTAGTTTCTTTCAGCGGAGCTCTAAAATACCTGGGTCACGTGATAAGCGAGTCAGGGATCCACACTGACCCTGATAAGATCGCCGCGATTCGCGAACTACAACCGCCTACGAATGTCCGTGAATTACGACGCTGCCTCGGTGTCGCGTCGTGGTACCGCCTACTACAAAGCATCGACGGGGTAGAACGAGTCATAGCTTATGCCAGTCGACGATTAACCGGAGCCGAGGAAAATTACTCAGTAACAGAAGAGGAATGCCTCGCGATCGTATGGGCCATTCGCAAAATGCGTTGCTACCTGGAAGGATATCGGTTCGAAGTCGTGACGGACCATCTGGCTCTAAATGGTTAAACTCAATCGACAACCCAACCGGACGAATCGCCAGATGGGCACCCGAACTTCAACAATATCAGTTCGACGTTCAGTATCGACGAGGGAAATTCAACATAGTAGCCGACGCTCTTTCCCGTCAGCCCTTGGACACAGTACAACAAGCCAACGTAGAGCCATCCCAATGCAAATGGGTGCGCAAGATGATACTTCAAGTGACTCAGGAAACCGGGAAAATTCCCAGACTACCGGATCGAAGGAGGCCAGCTGTACCGAATGACGGGGAATACACCACAGGAGTAAGACCAGCTATGCGTTGGCCAGGAGTACCGCCAACGAGTCCTACAGGAGTGCCAATGATCATCCGACAGCTGGACATCTCGGAACACGGAAAACCGGCAAGCGCGTAGCGCAAAAGTATTACTGGCCAGGACTTTTCAGGGAAGTCACCAAGTACGTACGCCGGTGCCCCACCTGCCAAAAATACAAGGTAAGCCAACTTAAACCCGCCGGCCGTGAACATCCGCCAAGACGATGAACCATTCAGCGTAGTATGTGCGGACTTCATGGGCCCATTTCCCCGTTCCCGTCATGGAAATACCATGCTACTGGTATTTTTGGATGCATTCACCAAATGGGTAGAATTAGTCCCACTCCGGAAAGCGACGACACCCTATCACGAACGATCGTTCCGGAATCGGATTCTGAGTCGCTTTGGCGTTCCACATACATTCGTATGTGACAACGGGACCCAGTTCACCAGCCGGTCGTTTAAGACGTTCTGCAAAAACCTTGGGATGGAACTTCAGCACACAGCTCCCTATACTCCACAGCAGAACCCAACGGAGAGGGCAAACAGGACCATAAAAACAATGCTGGCCCTATACTTGGATGGAGCTGAACAAAACACCTGGGACGAGCTACCCCTGAACTCTCGCTGGCCATAAACTCAAGCGTTTCAGACACCACAGGATTCAGCCCCGCCTTCATCATGCAAGGGAGGGAACCGAGACTACCCAATACATTGTTCGATCAAGCCACGCCGACTCACACGTCGAATCAGCCACCACTAGGAAAGAAGGCAGAACAGATGCAGGAATTGTTCCGGATCGTCAAAGACAACAGCGAGCGAGCATCCAACGAACAAAGACGGCACTACAATCTCAGACGCCGAGAATGGCGACCGGCCGTGGGGTCGCTGGTACTCCTCCGCCGCCACGTACTATCCAAGGCTTCAGAGGGATTCACTGCAAAGCTGGCGGCCAAATACGATGGACCATACAAGGTGCACAAGTTCCTGTCTCCTAATCTCTTACAATTACAGGTGCCAGGAGTCGACGACGACGCACAGCCGGACTAGGGGACGTAAAGGAATACCATTACGAGGATACCGACGACGACGAGCCACCCGCTGCCGCCGAGGGGACCAAGTCTTGAGAAAAGGGGGCCACTTGCTGGTAGTTGCGACTACCCAACGTCCCTCCCATCAAGGGGGAACTCAGTGACTGGCCACTCAAAACTTTTTTTGTTATTTACTATTATCACTAAAACTTTGTTAGACTAAGAAAACACGAGTTACATAGGAAGGAGCTAGGCTTAGTTTAGTCATTCGCACTCATAGAGATATCAAATATTTAAGATATACTAAGTTTCTTTACCCGCAGCGCCATGAGTTCAAGAGACCCGAGACGCCCAGTGACGGGCACCGTAGGTGCAGACGACGATGTGGAGATGCAGGAGGCGCTGAACAATTCAATACAAGACCTCCTGAGCGATCCACTGTGAGAACCAGACCAGCTGATCCTGGAGGCTGAGGCCACCGGCCTCTCCCCTGGAGGATGTCCTCGACCCTGCGCCGCACCAGGGGACCCGCTGGGAAGTATAGGCGATGGAGTCGTCGAACCAGACGGCAGATTTGGGAGCTACCGCAACCCGAGCCCGCCACGGCAGCGACCCCCTGCCGACGCCGCAGCATCAACTAGCGCCAGCGAAGCATCACCAAAAAAGCGGCACCATCCCATCCCATCCTCGCGTGACGCCTTGCTACCCGGATCCAGCGGATCCTCTGGCGACACGCTGCTACCCAGCTCGGGTGGTTCCTCTGCCGACGCCACACTACCCAGCGTTGACAGGTCGACCAGGACGATCGGCGAGATGCTCAACCCACAGCTACGGTACAAGGACATCTCCAGTGCCGACGAGACAGAAGCCACGGCCCGGTCGTTCGCCACAGCGCGTTCCAAAGCAGGAAAACCCGGCTGTCCAGCGCCACCACGGATGAGATTATAGAAGTCTCGGATTCCGACGACCGAAGCACGCCCCTGTGGAGGGAGGTACCACCACGGCCAGAGACTCCACCGCCGTCGTACCAGGAACTGTTTGGGCCAGGCCCCTACGACAGCCCCCGCACCATGGCCAAGAAGCACCTGCCAGCAGCGACTGCACCACAGCGGAGCCACAACAACATCCGGCGACTCAGCGACGAGCTGCTCATGGAGGGCCCCAGCACATCCAGCCAAGCAGCCAGGGCACGGGCAACTGCACCACAGCCGAGCCACAACAACACCCGGCGACTCAGCAACGATCCACTCATGGAGGGCCCCAGCACATCCAGCCAAGCAGCCAGGGCACGGGCAACTGCACCATAGCCGAGCCACAACAACACCCGGCGATTTAGCAGCGATCCACTCATGGAGGGCCCCAGCACATCCAGCCAAGCAGCCAGGGCACGGGCAACTGCACTACAGCCGAGCCACAACAACACCCGGCGATTTAGCAACGATCCACCTCATGGAGGGCCCCAGCACATCCAGCCAAGCAGCCAGGGCACGGGCAACCGCACCACAGCCGAGCCACAACAACACCCGGCGATTTAGCAACGATCCACTCATGGAGGGCCCCAGCACATCCAGCCAAGCAGCCAGGGCACGGGCAACTGCACCACAGCCGAGCCACAACAACACCCGGCGACTCAGCGACGAGCTGCTCCTGGAGGGCCCCAGCACATCCGGCCAAGCAGACAGGGCACGGGCAGCCGTACACCAGCAGAACCGTGACAACAACCGGGCACCCAGCAACAACCCTGACTTCGCGCAACCGCAGCCGGCAACAAAGAGGAGACGCCGACCCAATGGGAACAGGACCAGGATCAACCGGCAGCGACTGGAAGCAGGTCCTCAAACCAGGGAGGAGATCCCATGCGGAGCGGTACAAGAGGTTGTGTACACGGGACGCCCTAACCAGCGCCGCCGAGCCGCACGTTCAAGGGGAAGTTCCTCCACGGACAGCTCCCCTGAGCCGACACCGAGATCCGGACCCGTGGAACGACGAAGACCCTCCATGGTAGTGGCCCCGGACCAGTGGCGAGTGGAGACGGCTGGACGGGTAATCCCAGCAACCCTACGCACCTGGATAGAGAGAGAGCTGGGATTACCACGGAACAGGGACATACGACGCCAGGAAAAGATCGACGGCAGACCTTACAGAATCCATCTCTCCAGGAGTGGGGGCGTCACCATCTTTTCACCCACCCCAAAGTAAAGGGGGGGTGTGAAGACTCACATCTTTGCCTTCACATTTTTTACATTCACATTTGTTATATGTAAATAGTTTAGGATTAAGTAAATAGTTTAAGTTCACAATTAAAAGTTTTTAAGTATATATACTGCAGTAGTTTTTAAGAGACAAAAACCTGAAGATAAATAATTTTAAGTTAGCCCTAAGTGGCAACCCAAAACTATCGAATAAGACAGGAGAATAGTTGAATTTCCCGCCGAAGCCAGGACACCAACCACGATCACGCCATGGAAAATACTAAGAAGAAATCCCCTATAAAATCCCACAGGGGAGGTTTCTTGGGAACGAGACCAGCAGCCACACTAACTTCCGGGACTTGGATTTTTTGTGCGCGGCGAGAAAAGTTCGGAGTTTTGGAAAAGCGGAGAAAACGACGGAGAAAGAAACCAAGTCCAAGATTCAACCGACGCGTGGCCAGGAAGTGGAAACAAGCAACCGACGAGACACAGAAACACTGGCTTCGGCAAGCAGGGTGAGCATAAAGAGTGCGACAGGGACAGATAGGGATTAGAAAGGAAAAGTCCAGAAAATAAAAGTAAAAGTAACTCGGAATCAAAGTGTCAAGCCCCGATTGTGCCGTCTGTGAGTTTTCCGGGCATGTGCGCAGTAGTTTTCTCGACAGGAGTAGCCGCGCCGGTGCCGTCTGCGAGTATTCCGGTCACATGCGCAGTAGTTAGGGCTGGTCGTAATACCTCCGATTTTGCTGTCTGCGAGTATTCCGGGCATTTTCGTAGTAGGATTTGCGTGCCAGAAATAGCCGTAGTTAGGCGGATTGGCGGTGGGTCTCCGGATGAGTATTCGGCGAATAATCGGCTCAAGGCGGAGTCCACTGCGTTCACGTCCGATTCCTCTCCTTCTGCAGGCGGCGGCGGTGTGGTCCCGTAGGACTCGGCGGCGGACGGCACTTCCCTTGCAGGGGTTCCCTATCCGGCAGCTTCTTGGGTGGGGGTGCTCGGAAGGCCACTCGGCCGGGGCACGGTGGCGACGTGCCAGATCGCGGCAAACTGTAACTCCTGAGACGAATCGGCACTGTCTTCGGGCGGCGGCTCTGAGAACAAGGGGGGCCAGGACGGCTTCGACTCCACTGGGAGGAAGACTGTGTCGGGCGCCCGGTTGCTCGGTTGGCGGCGGCTTCTCGTCGAGGTGCTGCGAGGCGTTCGGGGCTGCGGCGATCTCAAGGTCCCGTGGCTGCTGGGCACTCTGATCGAGCGGCGGCGGCGAGAGCAAGGGGGCCAGGACGGCTTCGACTCGACGGGGAGGAAGACTCTGTCGGGCACCAGGTTGCTCGGTGGGCGGCGGCTTCGCTTCGAGGGGTGGCGCAGGGTCGCAGGGGTGGGGACCCGCTCCAGTAATCCAGGATTGAGGGCGAGCTGGAGGTGTGCGGCGGTTGTTTGGCCGCCGATAAGGAATGGCGGGCGTGAGCACACGCTCGCTGGGGCTGTCGGTGTTGACTGTCAACCTCCGCCCCGAGAGGTTGACGGCAGCTGGTTTCCCGAGGGCGACACGGAATTCCGGAAGGGGTTTACTCTCCGGGGTGCGCCGACGAGATCGTCTGGGTCCACGGCAGCGACGGTCATCACGGCAGCGGTTGAGCGTCGTCGGCACTGGGCGTTGATGCGGCAGGCCATGTCGAGGGCGTCTGTCAGCGAGCGCGGATTGCTGCTGTTAATCGGGACTTGATATCCGGTCTCCTCGGATCCGGTCGATGAAGCGCTGCACTATGATGCTGTGGTACGTCGCAGCCGGCAACTCGCCGAGCACGCATCTGCCCAGGCGTTCCAGCTCCATGGCGAAGTCCTCGAGTGACTCGCGGGGTCCCTGCATGCGATTGTGATTGTGAAAGCCGACATGCTTACTGACCGCGAAATACTCCCGCATAGCAGCCGCTATGGCCTCATATGAGCGGATGGTGGCTTCGGGGAGGGTGGCGTGAAAACGCTGGGCACGCCCCCCGAAGACACGTGTACAATTTCCTGCACTTTTTCCCTTTCTGACCAATGGTACTCCTCGGCCATGTCGTCCAGGAGGCGCTGAAACTCCAGCCTGGGACGGGTGCCGTCGAATGTGGGCGGCAGCTCCGCGTCCGACACCTCGAGGATTCCCAAATGTGAGGTTAGGTCGTACGCTGGTGGCGGCGCAGTAGTTGGCGCGGCTCCAGGTCCGGTGTCCATCCTTCGGGAATACACTTCTCGCGCCGGTGCAGAGTAGGGGTTAGCTGCCTCTGCGAAGCGCGGGGTGCTGGCGGAATGCAAGTCGCCCCCAGCTTGTGTCACGCAGTCGCGACTGCGCGCGGGCTGCGCTCCTTTGTTTCCGGAGCGGTCGCCCAGCATTGTCCTCTCGAAAGTCGCCCACATCTTCTCTAACTTCTGCTCCAGCTTTAGGTTGAACGACTGATCCAGGGCCTCCACTTTTTGCTCGATCCGCCGGAAGGAGCGGTCGACGGCTCGCTCTACGGCGTCCAGCGCGGCGGCATCATCCCGCGGTTCTTCCTGGTTATGCCCTTCAAGGGAGGCTTGACGGCGGTGGCGAGCGGAGTTCTTAGGGCATTTTCGTAGGTCAGGGTTTTCGCAAACCCTATGGACCCCCTGGCACCAATGTTACGAATTTCGGCCGGGCGTAGGAGGTGCCGGCCGAGATCACTACGGAAAGCTGAGCGGAACTTTTGTTTTAAAGGTGTGGCTGCCAAGAACTCTGCATTGCCAACTTCCCCCGTCTAAGCCATCCAATGAACACACGAGTATTTCTGGTGTATTTCGTAGATTTTCTTTATTTTCACCAAATCGGCGTGTTGTTTTTCAGGAAGTCGGGCGAAGAACAAGAGAAGAATCAGAGAGACCAGGCATCCTGGCTGTCAGATTCTCGGGATTGCGCAGCTTAGCTCGTTTTGAGTTCTGCGCCTTATTGCGCAGCTGCTCGCGTTGCCAACTGCCTCGAGGATCGAAAGCTCTATTGGGCTACTTTCGTTAGAATATTAACATTAAAATTTAAAAAAGCTTGACGGAGTACCTGTACAATTAAATTTTAAAGTTATGTTCAAAATTTCAAACCGATTGGTTCAGTAGTTTTTAAGTTATAGTGTACACCGATTTTTAAAATGGCATTTTTCAGGAGAGCGCTTTAAACTTTGTGATACTCATACATCGAACACCAAACGACCTCCGTTCAACTATCCATAACTTCGTCAATTTTGTAATAATCGATGTAAAACGTTGACACAATATTTTTAAGATATTAAACCTTTATTTAAAAAAAAAAATAAAATACGAAAAAAAAATTGTAAAACCTTACCCTCACCTGTGTTAGTATTTTTCCGATTATATTAACCTCTGCAAATTTCTGCAGCTGATTTTTAGGCACACAGTACCCCAAAAGTCAGACGAACACATAAACATACATATTATTTGTGGCATTTCGTGGCATCACAACTAAAACTTTAACTAAACATGAAAAAGACGTTAACAAAATTGACAAAAAAATCGCTTATCGCTATAAAATACACAAATAATATTTAATTAGTCAGATAATTTTCATAAAAACAATTTATTTAAGTTAATACCTTTAACTTTAAAATGCATTTTAAATAATTAAATTTTGAGAATTTTTGCGAACGTCCGACCACTTTGAACTTCACTTTTATTATTATTATTATTATTTATTTGAAGATTTCTTCCTAACGCTACAAGTACAAAATACTTATAAGTTAATGCGCTAGTCACACAGGACAACTTCCTTATCAGATCACATCATTTTTAATTATTCTTATACTAAAATTAAAAACTACGGTCGCTTTGTTTTATTTTTATGTCACATTTTGTTCTTGAAAGTGTGCAATAAGTTTTGGGATCTGTGCCTTATTTGTATAATAATATTCGACCTTCGTGAAGTGGAGAATCTAAGTGTTTCATACAAATAAATTTGTCATTTGGAAAAAATTATTTTTTGTAAGTAAACTAACACTCTCATTTTTATCCAATCTGCCAAGTGGAGTTCAAATATATTGTATGATAGTCTAGTTACGTGATCAAATCGTCGCAAATTAAATACGAATCTTGTAATGCTATTGAAGGCCATTTTAAGTTTGTGCTGGCTGTTTGAGTCGCAATTAGCAAATAATTCGATCCCATAGAATAGTGTTGGGATCAGGCAAGATTTCGCAAGCAACATTCTTACATTTAGGGGTAGAAAGTTTCTAACCAAATAAAGCGACCTTAGCAATCCATACGTTTTCCCAACCGCGGTGTTAACGTGATCACTCCAGTTTAGCGTGTTATTAAAAATAAAACCCAAATTGGTCGCTCTTTCTACGTATTCAATAGGACTGTCATTTAAAAGTAAGGGCCCAATGTTAAGACTGAGTTTCTTTTTATAAATAATTATGCACTTGGATTTTGACGGATTCAGTCCTAGTCCGTTTTCTTTTGCCCAGTTGCTTATTTTGGCCAGTTCATTATTACATATGTCTACACACTCATTTATTCTATGTAGGGGACGGCTCACATACATTTGGACGTCATCTGCATACATATGGACATCACAACTTGACAACATGGATGGAAGATCATTTACATAAAGGGTGAACAAAAAGCGGACCAAGTACAGAACCTTGCGGCACACCGCGTTTTGTAAACGCAAAAGACGACGACACATTTGACACTACGACAGATTGACGACGGTTTTGTAAATATGATGTCATTAGTTTGAGAGCAGTTTTTGAGAATTTGAACTGATTTACTAATTTTGCACATAGGACATTATGATTAACGGTGTCAAAGGCTTTTACTATAGTCAAGTAGTACAAGAAGCGTCACATTGGAGTTGTCAGCATATTCTCGTATATCATTTGCTATTTTTAAAATTGCCGAAGTGCAGCTGCGGTGTTTCCTAAATCCTGATTGGTTATTATTCAGTAAAGCGTTATCATGGATGAACGAGTTAATTTGAGATGCCATTATATTCTCAAAGGCCTTTGATAAATACGGGAGAATAGAAATGGGCCTATATTTTTTGTTTGCCTTCGGAACAGGGATAATTTTTTGCGATTTTCCAACGGTCTGGAAACGTGGAAGTTGTAAAGGCCGTGTTGAATATATATGTTATGTATATTAGGATTTTTGGTAACAGTACTTTTATAAATTTAGGATTCATGTCGTCAAGTCCAACAGCGTCTGATTTGATTTTAAGAATATTGACGAGCACTTCACACTGATTGACACAAACAAATCTAAATCTACTATCACAGAGGTTTCGAGGTACTGATCTCAGGTACATATTGTTTTCGCAGATTTCAGGTACATTGCATTTCGACAGACTTGTGTTTAATTCCTCTATGTCAACAACCTGTTCCGGCGCTGCTGGTTTCCTGCCTATTCCTAATGACTTTATTTCTTTCCAAGTTTGTGAGGTGGATGCTGTTGTTTGGAATCTACTGCTATAAAAGTTAGTCTTTGCAGAGTCAATTAGTTTGGTCACCGTCTTTCTCAGTAATTTAAATCGTCCATAATGTTCTGGCGTCCTATACCTTTTCCACTTTTGGTATGCGTCATTTCGGGATTTTATTGCTAACTTAATGTCATTATTAAACCAAGATTTGACGGAATGTTTAATCACTTTTGTTTTGACCGGAACAAAGTTTTCGTATAAATATCTGATGTTGTTTTGAAACTGTGCAAGTTGCTGGTCTACTGTTAGAGATACGAAAATATTATTCCAGTTGCACTTATCAAATTCAGTCATAAGCAAGCCATAGTCAAGGTTCTTAAAGTCTCTAAATACTATCGATTCGTCATTGTATTGGAGGTTAAAGTTGTAGGTCAAATATATAAGGTCATGTTTTGAGAACGAAGGCACGATGAGTTGGTCAAACAGATATACTTTTTTAGCGTCAGAAACAAAGAAGACATCTAACAAAGAGCTGCAAGTTCTGCTGAAATGTGTTGGGAATACAGAGTTTACCAAGTGCATGCCTATAGATTCAAATTCATTTTTGAGATGTGTTTCCCTCAGCATGTTGCTATTCAGATCTCCAGCTACTATAATGTCTGCATAATTTAGCGATATATCTCCTAGCAAACTAATTATTTCATTATAAGTAATATCACATCGTGGGCGGTAAATGCATCCAATAAGAATTTTACTTGATGCAAATTTATTGCTTATCTCTAGGAAAATATATTCTATCTGACTATTATCCGGATGCTTACATACGAACTTTGTCTTTAATTTTTTAGACACAAAAATTGCTACACCCCCCCATGACTGACACGATCCCCACGGTAAACATAATAACCATCACAGGAAATTAACGAGTCACAGAAATCTTGTCAAACCACGTTTCAGATACGCATATGACATCTAACCCAGAATTGACAAACATATATCTGAACTCCTCAATTTTTTTCGGCAGACTTTGAGCGTTTATGTGGCAAATTTTAAGGCCAGATCTCTGCTTTGCAAGTATGCACAGCAAGGTATGGCTATGGGATACATCTACACTGCCTTCCATTTCAAGTATATAAGAAGAATTACCTGTTGCACAGGTATTATGCATAAATTAAGGCATTGGAAACATACTGAAAAGGACACAAAGAAAACATAGCGACCTACATTAATTTTAAATCTAATAAATATTATAGTTATGTGTAAACATAGGAGATACAAAATTGAGTGAAGCTTCTTAATCTCGAAATGTGCTCTTATTATTTCGCCGGTATGCCCCTATTGCTCGCAGTAGCTCCGCCTTGGCGAGCACGTGCTCGAGTTTTATAATTATGACCGGGTCTACAAATGTTTGACCCGATCGACGTGGCCGTGTGCGGAAAACGGTCCTTACAGGAGGAGGCGGGGTTAAGTTCAGCGAGAAGCACAGCTTGTGGTATAGC